AGAGAAGACTTTAACTTTTACCAAAGTATTTTTATGATAAGATACTTGTACTTTTACTCAAGTATCACTTTGAGGTAATTTATACAACACTGCAAAATATCACCAAAATTGTGTGATTATCTCAAGTCTGAGGGAAGTTATTGATGTTTATTTAGGTGAAATCAGCTCATGTTTTCTTGCTGCAGTTCACAGCAGAACCAATGGGGCCTTTGTGACCTTTTCACCTTTTTATCTATTTTTGTTCATAATTTCCTCAGTGTTCAAGATATCATCATGAAATTTTAGGAAAAAGATTCACATTCTGKTTTTTGTAGGAAGCATCTTGTATCCTAAAAACTAATAAAACTTAATAATAGTCAATGCAAAAGTAGCAGAAAAGAAAATGTATAAAATAATATTACAAGGCAAACTGCAGCATCAAATCAACTTAATGTGTCTTAGAAAGAAAGGAAATTAAAACAATTTAAAAACCATGTGGACATCTGTTTTGTAAACAAAGCTCCTCAATCAATGACAACGTGTGAAATGTATCAGGTGACTAAGATGAGCGTCAACACACTTTGCTAACAAGAGCTATTACGGCTAATAAAAAAAACATACTTCAATGTTTCAAATCATCAAATTTGGAACAAGGGCAGATAAAATAATGTTCTTCATGGCAGCTTATCAATTTTAAGGGGTCACTAGAAAAACTCGGGTCATTTACTTTGATCCTATTTTCAAAAAATTGTCTCTTCAAAATGCATCAACAAAAATTTAAAACTTGAAGATGAGGCTAACTACCTGATGTTGGCACGCTTTGTTGAAATTCGTAGAAAAAACGAAGCAGGAGGAAATTACAAGCCAACGCACTGAGCAGCCTTGCAAAATCTGGTCGCAGCAGTTCTAAGTTAAGGTTAAGTTCTAGGATACTTGAAACTGTTTTCAACCTAAAATAAAGCATTTAGTCAGTAGTGCCTGTCAGTGTGTCCCAGGGCAGCTTTGACTGTAGATTGCTGCCATCACAGTGTGAATGCCTGAAGTGTAAAGTGCCTTGGGGTCCTAGTGGATTTGATAAGGTGTTATATTAGTTCAAGCCATTAGTGATCCAGCAGTGGTCAGTGTTAGTAGGGCGTATAATAAGTTCCTGTATTTCCCCCCCCAAACAGAACACAAGATTTTAAATGTGGGACCAACAGAGCCCTGGTCCATCAGAGAGAAACTGTGCCTGGCCTCCTCTGTACTGAGGAGTGGAGACCAAAACTGGTAAAGCAACAACACTCTAAATAAACACAGCTGTTTCTGTCATTCACACATGAAACAAACGCATGGGTTCAACCCAATTTAAGCTGATATTCTCACATCTCAGTGTATCCTCAAAAGATTTTCTGGGCATAGTTCAGTCCCTTTTAGAATCAGTCTAACGAGAAGCTACGTAATGTTTCTACTCTTATTTACTTTCAACTCATCCAGCTTATATTTATTGTAAGGAGTTTCTTCATCTTCCAGGGTGTCTGTAAGCAGAGCCATCAAACCCTTCTCTGAGTCCGGCCGTCCACCTGACTGGTTTTCTCAGAAGGTGAGAGACTCGCAAACCTACACAGAAATTTATAAATTACTTTTAGTCTCACTGTGTAGAAAGTCAGATAAGTTGCTTTGATATGTATTCTCTTTTAATACGGATAACCTCTCTCTCTTCTCAGCACTGTGCCTCACAATATTCTGAACTGCTCGAAGCAACAGAAGCACCTAAGTCAGTACTACAAAATACATTTACGTAAAAAACAGTTAGCATTGCTGCTATGGTAAATGAACCTTGATAATTTCGTTTGACTGTTGACTTTTTGGTGTGCTTCATGCATTGTTCTAGGCGTAAACGTGGTGAGAAGGGCGAGGTGGTGGAGACGATTGAAGATGTCATCGTTCGTAGGCTGACCACTGAGAGGATAGAGGAGCTGAAAAAACTCCTGCGAGACACACAGGAGCAGTACAGGTAAACACACACCACAGATGAAAAGGATGAAACTTTGTCTTCAATGATAGTTTAACTTAAACATTAAAGTGGTGCTTGAAAATCGAATAGAATAAACCCATGATTATTTTTTCTGTGGGTATTTTCCTTGAAACATACATAACAGCCTCTAGACTAACTCTTTGCAGTTTTGCAGGCTTGCTTTATTTTTCTTTTAAAGGGATCCATGATTAGTTGTAACATTAGATTTTATTTAATAAACATATATTTTAACTGTAAAATAAATATTGTAAAAGTGCTGTAGGATGTTCAGTTTTTATCATGTTTAAACAAAAGTTTAAAAATATATTACACAGACGGGGCCATTTTATTTACACGCAAAGCATTCTGGG